GCCCCAGAGCAGCTTCTTCCCAGCCAGGCATGAAGACGTGCAAGTATACAAGCGCATGTGAAAGGAGAAGAGGAGGGAGACATCAGAAGCTGGGGGCAGGGCAGAAGGGGGGGGGTTCAAGGAGAAAGGCACGCTTGGGGATTCTAAGAAGCAGTGGTAAGAAGGGAGTACATTCCAAACACAAGGGACAGCCTGTGCCTAGGCACAGAAATGGAAAATGGCATGTTATATGTGAAGAAGAGAAACCTGAACTCATGTTCCAACAGGATAAAACCAGGAACAACAGGTGGAAAGGGTCCTCACTAACTCTATCAACTTGAGCAAGTCACCCCACTTCCATCTGCCTGGGAAATAGTGGGTTCCTTCTCACTGGATGTCCTATTTTTTTTTCAATTTATTTATGTATTTATTTATTTTTAGTTTTCAACATTCAGTTTTATGAGATTTTGAGTTCTAAATTTCCCCCACACACACACGGCATGCAATCTGATATAGGCTATACAGGTATGATAATATTAAACATATTTCCACATTAGTCATATTGCAAAAGAAGAATCAGAACAAAAGGTAAAAACCATGAGAAAGAAATAACAAAAGAAAAAAAAGAGAGAGAGAGAAAATAGTATGCTTTGATCTGCATTCAGACTCCATAGTTCTTTCTCTGGATTTCACTGGATGTCTTAAAGCAAAGCTGCATCAGCACTATTCAGGGATGTTATGGAAAGTATTCCTGTTCAGGAATGGGCACATGACCTCTGAACCCTCCAGTACCTAAATATTCATGATAGGCTTAAAAATCTAATACTGAAATGTCAGATTTAAGAATATCCCATGGTAAGAAACAGATGTGACAAAAGGCACACTGACAACTCTAGTCTTATAAAAAAAATCAGGTTGGATTATCAGCTGTCACCAATTCTAATGGTTTTCTTAAGAATTCTTATAGATAGACGTAGGGCTGCAAAGAATCTCAAGAGTCATTTAATTCAACCCCCTAATTTTACAGGTGAAAAAACTGAGGCCCAGGGAGGTTGAGACTTGCCCCAGGTCACATGGATAGTACGTGTACAACTTGAATGCAGGTCCTCTGACTTCAAAACCACCCTGGGTCCCTAGACTATATATAGTATCTTTCTCCCTCTCCTCTCCCCCCACCCATACAGACCATAAGCACCTTGAGGAGAAGGGCTGTTGCATTGGACTTTGTATCCCCAGTATCAAACATAGTGGGTAGTACTTAGTAAGTGCTTAATAAATGTTAGGACATAGAAGGTACTTAATGAAATTCCTTTATTAATGCCTCACTGTGACAAGGAAATTACCTCGGGTTTCTGAAGACTACATATGTAGACAGCAATCTCTAGAGGCCTAATCTAATCCAATCCAGCAAGCATTCAAAGGTGTGCTAAACTAGCGATAAAGCAAGGACCATTTTCCCTTTGCCAATCTCCAGTCTGACATAGTTAAGGCTCAGAAAAATCTATTATCTGGCCCTAAAGGGCTAATGTTTGGCTAAGTCACTATGAGCTTGCGTGTATATGTGTGGGGATGTGTGTGTGTGTGAACGTGTGTATACATATACACACGTGCACATATATGTATGTGTATATGGGTGTGTGTGTCTGTGTGTGTATATATACATATATATACATATATATACATATATATGCATATATGTATATATATGTATATATACACAGACACACACACCCATATACACATACATGTATTATGCATGATACATTCATGCATACATATTCTACCCTTATAGCTTCACTCTTATACAGGGAGCTAAGCGGACCTGGAGTCAGGAAGACCTGAGTTCAAATTTGGCCTTAAACACCTATTAGTAAGTTATTTAACTTCTCTCTACCTCAACTTCTTCATCTACAAAATGGAGATAATAATTGTACCTACTTGCCAGGGTTGCTGTGAGGATAAAATGAGACAGTATTTATTTGTAAAGCACTTTTCAAAACTGAAAGTGCTATGTAAATGCTGGCTACTAGCTACTACTGAAGGACCTTCCTTCATTAAAACCCACTTCCAGAGTAACCCAGAGTACTTTATCTACAACAATACTATCTGAGCAGGAAGAATATGAAGGACAAATGTGAGTACTGGAGTAAAAAGCCATTTGACCAAGTATGTGTGTATTTTTACCTAGGTTCCCCCCCTATAATGTTCTTGTTCCTGAAGTACAGCGGTCTGACTGAATCCAAACTTCACACAATAAATCCCCTTAATAAAAGGATTTGTTCTGTAAAACTTAGACTCAGTCAAAAGGTCACACTTGAGGACCTAAAGGGACACATGTGGCCTAGAGGCCGCAGGTTCCCCACCCCTGATCTAATCCAAGCTCCTCATTCTACTGGGTTCCTGAGAGGTAAATCAATAGTAGTAGGAAAAGAGATTCAGGGAAAGCTAGAGTAGGGGTTAATTACCTAGGTTTAAGATCTCAGGGAATCCATGAACATTTCCATAGGAAATGATTTTCAATAACCTTTGGTTACAGTTATAATCCTATGTATTTTATTTCACGCTTTTAAAAACATTCTGAGATGTTCATAGGCTTCTGGAAAGGGTCCATGATGCAAAAAGGGTTAAGAACTCCGGGTTTAAAATGACCCTCCGATTTTTTCCATAGAAATATTTTTCATTAAACAACTGACATAAGTAAAGAAGTGTGCAGAGAGAAATATGACTTCTGATATTTCTCCTCTCTGGCTAAACAAAACTCAGTTTCCATTATCTTAATTATCACAGGAACATATCTAAGGGTAAAAGTATATATCAAAACATTAAATTAACTTGTCAGATTTTAACAGCATATAATGCATCCTTAAAAGATGTGACAGCTATTTATGTTAAAAACCCTTTTATAATAATTAGCACATGAAGAACTAAATAAATGGCCAGGTACCTCTTACTCATGGTTAAGTCAAACAAATCTACCAACTACAAACTAACTCAAAAGATTTAATAGGACCTACTCAAGAATTAGCTAAAATAATAAGAAAATTTGTATGGATAAACCCACAAAAATATAAAGAACTGTGATCAAGAAAATCAGCAAAGGGGAACTAGCAACTAGCACTACCAAATCTCAAAAGGTAGCATAAAAGCAATAATTTTTAAAAGCCATCTGGTGCTACAGTAGAAAAAGAATAAAGAAAGCTACCTAGTAGGTTAGAGAAACCAGAAAAAGAAGCCAATGAATAGAAAATACTAGAGTTTAACAAACCCACACTTACAAAGCACTATAGGAAAGAGTCATTACTCAATAAAAATTGCTAGGGAAAAAAAAAACAACTAGATAGCTGCACGGCCAAAACAAATGGCTTGAGGTCAACACAACATGAAACATGTAAATTAGATCAGCAATGCAGATATTTTAAAATCTCAAAAACCTGGAAGCAAATTGGATAATATACATATTGCAACTGTGGAGTACAGAAAAATTTTCAGTCAAATATAAGATGGTATTCTAGACAAAAATCAATGGATTTGTTTATATGCAGCCAAGATTTTGTGGAACAAAAAGTTATATCTCCAAAAATAAAAAAAGAAACAAAATGGAAGAAAATATTGGTAGTGGATATATAATAAAACAGTGGGCCAAGCAAAATCTAGAAGAAACTGATACAGATCTATACCAGTGTGGTAAAGTCACTGCATCTTCCTCATCTGCATTTGTCTCCTCCCCAATAAATGATGGTCAAATTATATCAACAATTAACAAGGAGGAAATATGACTAGCTAACAAGCACATGAGAAGACATTCAAAATGCCCCAAAATCAGAGAAACATACATCAAAACTTTATAACATCAGTTCACTGACAAAAAGAGCAAAAACGGGGAAAATCTAATGTTGGCAGAGCAGTGGAAGAATAGGAACTCAGATACACTGTTGCTGGAATTATAGGCTAGTGCAGACAGCGTGGATAACAATATAGCAAAGTGCAATGCCACAAAATTAAACATATATTTCAATCCAGCAATCCAACGGCTGGGACTCCATGTCAAACCAATCATAAAAAGGGGGAAATGACCTATAGGTACAAACATATTAATAGATACTGTACGAATAAGAAAACGACTTATGTGTCTAATAACAGGAGAAATTATGGAATTTCCTGTAATTTATTGTTGTACCATTAAATGTGATAAATATGAAGAAAATAAAGAAGTAGCACAGGACTGCTTACTAGGACCTGTCTGTGTGAGCCTGGCAGTTACTTCACAGCCCTGTATCTCAAGTTTCCTCGTCTGCCAAATGTGGAGGTTTGACAAATGACCTCGGAGGTCACTTTCAGCTCTTGATCTATGATCTTCTGAGCCCTGAGGAGAGGCAGAGCGCAGTCAGAAAGACCAACACTGTAGGTGCACTGACTGAAACCACAGAAAAGGAAAAGGGAAAAGAAGAAAAACAAAGACAAGAAAAACGGGCTCTGTGATGGCAAGCAGTCTCTCAGCATGTTTGTTGCTGTGAGCTCATATTTTGGGAGAAGGCTGACTAAAGGTTAAGGGTCTTGGGGAAGATTTGAACCTTTTTTCTATATGTTTAATTGTTTTTGGTGATGGCTGTTAAGATGTTAATAGAAAAAAAAATTAATAACCAGCAATGAAATGAAAGGGGAAAAAAAACACTTAACTATATATGCTATTATTCCAAAATAATGCTAAATTATTTTGGAAATTATTCCAGAAATCAAACTATTCATTTTGTAAATTGCCAACAATAAACAAAATCCTCTCATAATTTTAAAATGTTAACTGAATTTGCACATTTATATATGTTACTTTAAAAAAAGTAAAGGATAATTTCATTTGCTTGATTCTTAAATCAATATTGAAATGCATTAACCATTGTCAGTTTCCAGCCTAATAACTCAAGTTGTTCAAATAACAAGAAAATCAATTATATCTAAAAACACACATATGTAACATCAATACTTATAATTAGGGAAAATTCTTTTCGAAAATGTGAAGGACATACCTGACAGGATTACTGGTTAAGGACACCCTCAAAGATTCGAGGCAGTTAAGGAGTTTCTCTTCTGAGATGCCAGACCGTAATTCATGGATATATTCTTGGGAAGATAAGGTACATTCATGCTTGCTATTTTTCAGTCCTCCCTACAAAGGTGAAGACATTATTTTAGGCCAGAGTAAGAAATAAATTACTATAACAACACAGGAAATACTTATGCATATGATTATGTTATTTCATCACACAACTACAGAGAATGTTAGGCATACACGGAGGAGGTTTTTAATGCATATTTTGGGGTTGTTGACTATTTAATACGAGTCTGATGATGTTATGTGCCTGAGAACATCTTAATCACTACATTTCAAAGAGAAAATCATGGATAACGTTTTCAGTCTGACAGAGAATGTGGACACCGACTCTACATAAAGTGACAATATACTCTCTAAAGTGCTTGGATGAACAAATCCAGGTTTAACATTAGTCTGTCTCTGCTTCTGAAAAGTCTATCTTATTATTTTTGTAGGTTAAGAGACTTCCACTATTATTCAGTAAGATACAGAGGAGGAAATGTGATTAATATAAAACATTTATATACAGGCCAAATGCATTCATTTAAATATGCCAGAAGTCAAGGTGATTTATCAAAAGTAACATGCCATCTGAAAATTTATAAAGCAAAAAGCAAACTTTTTCAGTTCCAATTCAAACAAAATTTATTATGTGTTTAACTCTGTGCAACGCATTGTGGTAGGTACTGGTATAAAAAAGCAAAGACGAAACAATACCTGTCCCCAAGGAGCTTATGGTCTAGTGGGAAGCAACATCATGTACACAGATATTATACATGTAAATGTGTAGATACAGACATAGATATATAGATATTGATGATATAGACAGATATAGGTATAGGTATAGACATACGGACATCTATATTATATATACATACACACACACACATACAGAGGCAGCTAGGGTATGCAGTGGAGAAAATGCTGGGCCTGGAGTCAGGAAGACCTGAGTTCAAATCCAGCCTCAGCCACTTACTAGCTAAATACTCCTCAACAAGTCACTTCATGGCTGTCTGCCTCAGTTTCCCCATCTGTAAAATGGGTACCATTATAATAGCACTTCTCTCACAGGATAGTTGGACCAAATGAGATAATATTTGTAAAGTGCTTAGCACAGTGTCTAGAACACAGTAGTTGTTTAATAATGCTTATTTCCTTCCTTTTTTCTTATATGGACACACAAAGTAAATATGCCTTGTGAAAATGGAAGCAAGGGAGAACATTAAAAAAGAAGAGAATGAGGCAAAGCTGCAAATAGAAGGTGACATCTGGGCCTTGAAGGGACTTAGAGACTGTAGGAAGTCAGAGGCAAAGAGAGAGGTTGTTCTGAGCAAGGGAGACATGTAATACAAAGTCATGAAGACAGAAGATGGAATGTCATGAATGGGAAGCATTCCCAGCCCATCTGGCAGAGGGAGAGTGTGGCAGAAGCCACATGTACTAATCTGGTTTGGAACCACTACAGTTAGTCCCCATGAGCAGCTGGAAATTCACCAGATAAGCCCTAAGTTTCCTAAAAACCAACAAAACCATTGTCAAGGAAGACTTATTAAGTACTATTTGCTGTGCTCAGTACTGAGGATACAGAGACAAGAAAACACAAATGAATCAGTCCCTGCCCTGAAACAGTTTAGGTTCTACTGCGGGGGGGGGGGGGTTGTTGCAGAAAAACATTAAGAATGTGACACAGACATGTACATAGAGAATGGCCCCGAGATTCAAGGCTTTTAAGTGACTGATATGACTTCACAGTCATGAAATCCAGTGCAAGAAGAGTTGGGCACCTCAAGCTTAAAGGACTCACCCACTGCCACGTGAACAAAACCAAAATACAGAAATCATTAAATTGAGATATAAAAACTAGGGACTGGGTTTTTTTTTGAACTAACAAAATAGATACAGAGAAACCTAGAAAACGTGTTATGAATTGGTACAGAGTAGACTGAGCAGGACAGGACAATAATGTATATAATAACTACAACACTGTAAAGTAAATTAAGAATTTCTATCAATGCAATAATCATTCACGACTCCAGAAGACAATACTAATCATGCTTGCCACCTCTTAACACAGAGATGCTGGACTAGGTGTGCAGAATGAGAAATGGTTTTGAAGACATGACCAATGTGTGTGTTTGTTTTGCTCAATAATATGCATTTGTTACATGAGACGACTTTGAGGTCTGTTATTTGGATTTGGGGGGGGGGTCTTAGTAACAGAGACACAAAAAAGAGAAAAGAACATCAATGAAAGTGTAAAAACAGACAAGAAAAGAGCAGAAGGGAATTCAGAGAGAGATAAAGACAAGCAAGACAATTTGAGAACTACAATGTTAAATTTATTATACTCTTTTAAAAAAAGTTGTACATAAGAGATTTACAGTTTTACATACAATCCTTTTTCTGTTCTTTATGTAATGTACTGACCCTTTCATACGGGACCAGTTTGGTCGCTGAAAGGGGAAGGAGTATTTGTATAAAGGAAAATGATAAAAATCCACCTGTGAAGAAAAATGGGTAAGATAAAATAGGAGGAGCAACACAGACTTTTCTGAGAACCATTGAGAGGACAAGCCCTTAAATCGATGTACTACCAGGATCTCTTGGGAGATCGAGTTATGAGCCAGGCAATGACAGCTTTATGGTCCGTGTGGCCCTTCAGGTTTGCAAAGCACTTGACATATGTTATCTCAACTGATCCTCACAAAAACTCGAGGTAGGTGCTACTGTTAGCCCCATTTTTACAGATGAAGGAACTGAGGCAGAGTCAAAGTGATTTGTCAAGGGCCACAGCTTAGAAGTGTTTGAGGCCAGATTGGAACTCAGGTCTTCCTGCCTCTAAATCTAGTGCTCTATCCATGCGGCCATGTAGAGCTGCTTTAAAAACAAACAACCAACCAAACGAAAAACAACATTTTTAGAAAGTTAAAGTTTCTAATTGAAAAAAATTTAAGTCAAACAACTGTCTGGGAACCATGGGAAGATTAAATAAAGACTGTTGGGTTCATACCCAACAAAGACGGATTTATTTCCTGAGTTTCACCTCATAAGGGAAAGGTTTCCCTCCCTGTGAAATCCATACATGCCAGCATGAGTGCAGAATGGGTGAGCAGGACCGTCCCAAAGGAGTGGGAATTCATGCCATACTTGGCCTACACTTGCATATGGAAAAGACCATGTTTGATAATGGTTAACAAGTTCATAATAATAATTTTTAAAGATATTTTAGATGACTAAAAAAAGGTGTAGGTGAGCAGCGATAAGGGTCTGAAAAAAGAGGCCAGCCATGTGAGTAGAGGGAAGTAGACAGAGGTGCCAGATGTAGAAACAGAAAGACCTGTTAACTGATCAGTTATGTTGGGTGAAGGAGAACGAAAAGCTGAAGACACTGCCAAGTTTATGAACCTGGGAAACTAGAAAAATGGTAGTAACTTAGAAAGAATTAAGAAAGTTTGGAAGAAAGTTGGGTTTGAAGGGAAAATAATGAGTCCTCTTTTAGACATGCTGAATTTGAGATGTCTCCAGGACATCGACCTTGAAATACTCAATAGGCAGCTGATGCTGTGTGATGAAGGCTCAGGGGAAAGACAGCAGTTGGTTATATAGATCTGTGAATCATCTGCACGGTGATGACGAAATCCCTGGAACTGAACAAAGTCACAAATGGCAAGGGTATATAGAGAGAGCCCAGGATGGAATGCAGGGGAACACCTATACCTGAAGGATTTATCCATGATTATAGTGTGACTGCATTTCTCCTAAAGTCCATATTTTATTTCATTGCTACTAACTTATAATATAATATATAGGATTGAGAACTGAAAGGAGTCTTAGAGATCATCTAGCCTAACCTCAATTTTACTGCTGAGGAAACTGAGAACTAAATAAATTAAATCATTTACACACGGCCACACAAGTAGCAGGACCAGAATCTTAAACTAAGGTCCCCTCTGACTCTAAGTCCAAAATGCTCTTCCTTATTTCATTACATAAGCAGCCAAAGACGGAAAGGATAGTAAGCATTAATGAATTTATGAATCCAATACTGCCAATCCCACACATGCCCACAGTCTAGGCAGATGGCAGAATGAGATTGGTTGACTTGAAACATTTTCAGTAGGTCACATATCACAAGTATATATACTAGATAGGACTTAAGAAACATTAAGTTTTACTGAGTTATACAAAGGAGGAAACTAAGGCCCACAACATTTCAATGATTTATTCAAGACTTCACAACTATTCTGCAGCAGACCTTGGAATGGATCCCACAGGCAGTCCAGTGCACAATGAGCCTACACTGCTTCACCATGTTCAATTATAAAAAATTATATACATACATATATATATATATATATATATCATAATATATAATTTTTAAACCTCTGTCACAAAAAAAAACAAGGGATCTGAGCTTAATCAATAAGGTTAAAGATTTTTATAAGGTCACCTAATAGCAAAGAAATACAATAAATTAAAGTCTAGCTATTTTTACCAGGGCTGTAATACAAGACTGGCTTCTTATTAACATCCTGTTCTGATACTTAACAAAGGAAACAACCAGATAATGGATGGATAATAATGGAAATTTTAATTAGCTGCTCTGTATGAGATTAATGAAAATTACCACTGTGCCCATTTGATCTTTAAAAAATAATGCAGACAAAGTTAGCAATTAGTATATATCATGCTTTTCCAAAGCTAGGTGAACAAAAAGCTTTCCTTATTTGAAGCTATTCCATAATTTGGAAATTATTAGGATAAAGGTATTTGTCAGCATAATAATATGTATACTTTTACATTATAGCACACAAAGAACCTAAAGGTATCTGGGGTCAACTGAGTAATCCTTTTTGATTAACTTAATTTCTGACTCAGTATGTTAATGGCAAATCCTATAAAAACAAACAACAATATTCTCATGGAAGGAAGGTTCTTAAGTTTGGATTACTTCTGATTTTAGATTGAATTATTCTGAGCAAGAACATACTCCTCTACTGTAAATGCAGATTTACAATCGGGGGAAAGCCTTCATATTTTTAACCTTTAGATATTTCTTCTATCAAAATTAACTA